GTGTTAATAACGGCAATTGGTGGGTCTGGCTATTAGCTCATTACCATCTCTTATACTCTGCATTCGCTCGAGTGCATCAGAGACAGTGACGCTTATCCGCGTTGTAAAGGGCGGAAGCAGCAGGTCGCGCGTTAAGGCTTGGCTCGGTGTATCGATTTAAAAACATTTAAATTCCATAAATATCCAACGAAACGTTGAATAAGGCATGCGCGAAGCCAAAAGCCTCTCGCCTACCGGGAAGACGACGAGAGCAGAGATAACGTATGATAGAGTGCACTGCTGCATAAACCAAAAGCAGAGAAACTTTCGATGGTGGCGCGAGATAGTTCGAAGTAATCTTCGGGCAACGTGAGCAACATTGCAAGCGGCCTGTCGCTTTAGTCGCTTATTATTAAAGCATCGTAGATTAATCCTTTCAACTTCTTCTCTGATATATACAATATCCCGATTAGAATTCTAAAGTAGTAAAATAGTGAAGTCTCCGCGAGCCACGGCGACGTGATGGAAAGTAAATTTCGGACAGTTTAGAATGGAAAGAAAAAAACTGCTAAATTAACATTCAAATATTGTTAGGGTTTGTGGAATCCGCAATTTCTGCTGGCCGTTAATTGAACATATATTTTTGTAGATTGAACGATTCAAGTGGCAAGTGTCGCTGTGATTAGCTCGAAATAAATTCGCGAGCAAGAAGGTAGTGTCCGTTCGTGCGTGTTGTCAGGCGGCAGCGGTAAACTGTTATCAACTATTCGAGAAGCTATTCGATGCATGCGGACGTCATCGAACCGACATTAGGGCAACTTGATTGGAAAAATCTATAACTGTGCCACGGGCTCGTTATCGTGAACGAGCCTGTCAACAGGTATAAACGAGAAATCGCGGAGCATCGAAACGGAAAAAGGGTAAAAAAGGGAGGATCGGAAGGAGAAAAACGAGAAGCGCGGAGAAACGATTCGTCGTGTAGTAGCGAGGGGTGGCGAGCCGAGCCCGAAACGGCCAGTAAATACGACTGACCCATGGTTCGACGATGGGTGCATCGAAAACGGATGGAAGGCGAGAGGGCGGAAGTGGTGGAACGGGGATTGCCGAGCTGTGATCTAGAAACTGCAGGTAATAGATTCAGTCGCGGGACGAGAGGATCGAGGTCGGAATCGGATCCCTGGATGGAAATAGGAATCTAGTGCCGGAGAACGCGGAGTCGGCGTGAGAGCGGTGTGGAGAGAAGGGGTCACACAGCCCGGGAATAAATCATTTCTGATTTTAATCAAACCGGGAAAACATTCGCCCGGTTCTACTCGACGGCCCGCACTCGTTTTGTCCAACGTTATTTCGCGAACAGCATGCGCTCGCCGTCGTCGTCATCCGCGCCTTGACCTTTTCTCTCTCGTTCGCGTACAGCCATCATGAGAAATCAAAAGGAAAATAAGCGAAGTAAGAAATAACATCACCTATCGGAAATTCGAGGTGGGTTAATGAAAGAGGAAAGAAGCAGAATATAAACCACAGTTGGAAAATTTGTGCCAACATATTTTTCATAATCCTAAACAGTAGATTTGAATTTTTACGCTAATTTAACACAAGATGAATATGTTAAAGAGTAACATAAATATTGTGTACAAAATATTAATAGAAAAAAATGTGACATTAACACAATTTGTAAGCAAATTGTATGTGTGTGAGAAATCATATTTTTAAATAAAATTAACATTTATAAAATGTGTTAAATTAACACATTTTATTCATTTATTTCTTTTCAGAATTATGCGTTTTTAGAATTTATGTTTTAGAATATATTATTTTTACATTAACTGTTCACTTATAAACTTTATTTTAACTAAGGATATTGAAAATCAATTTAACACAAAGTGTTCAAATATCACAATCATATTCTGTTAAATTAATTTGAATATGTTAGGAATTCCACACAATAATTTTAACAAGAACGGATTTTAATACAAATATAAAATATTTTTTTACTATATGACGTCAATCTAACATCTTCAATTATTCGAAACCGCGTAAATAACAATTAATTTGAAAATATATTTTGATTGTAAAATAAAAATGTGATAAATGGCCAACAACGAAATCATACTTCAATCTTTCTTTAATCTCTAAGTCTCTTTAAGATTTAGATGAATATGTATTTTATCAAAATCATGAAATTGTCGGTAACGTCGATAATCTCATTTGCTAAGAATCCTTTACTGTAGTATTTTCCAAAAACCTTAGTATATTTTTACATATGTATGTACTAACGTACTATTTTTAGTTGGTAATATCTCTTGCATAACATGCGATGCATACAGAAACTGGGTTTTATTATTTGTCTGCATATCTTTATTTAAAGCTTTGTCAGCGTTATCTAACTTATGAATATTAATTACATGTTGCGTTCTTATGAAAGTTGATTTGATTCCATGAATAAATTATTGTTATCCACTGTGTCACGGATTAAATAAAAATAAAATTTTTAGTATAATATTATTTCTCGTAAAATTGGCTGTACACTTACGAATGAATGGTCGAAATAATTATTATAATGATTATTTATTCATTTATGATAATATATTCTTTATGTCATATATTTCTACATTTATCTGTATATTTATTAAGCATCATCATCAATCAATATCTGTTTACTCAACAGTTTTTGTAAAATTTGGCAAATTAACAAAAATTGCAATTGTTATATTTTAATTTCTACACAATAGAGATTGAAACGTTCATAAACAAGTCTCGGCTAACGAGTCGATTGAATCGAATATTATTTTCTGTATAATACGTCAGTATCAGCAATGTTAACTGCCGATATCACGAGAGCGTATTGGACACAGAAAAATATGAGTGAACTTTGAAAACCATGCTTTAGAGAATAGTTATATCAGCTGTGTCAAAGAAAGAAAAGAACTCGATAGTGAAGTAATAATGCGGATAATAAGATGGATCTTGCCGTCGGAAACCTCTCAAATTGATTTAAAAATAATTTAAAGAAGCCGTAGCGCGAGAGCTACGTTAAGATGCAAAACAGAGACGACCTTTCTTCGCCTTTCCTCTTTCATTGTGAACGGTTCGTAGGCGTTTTTCAAAGCGTCACAGGAAAATCGTTTAAGCGCTGCATTAAACGGACTGACCAGCTATTAGCGTGGGTAATGAAACGACGCGATTGTTTTCCATTTGGTCGCACCTTGCCATTCGTGGAGGTCCTCTCCTGGCTTTGTTCCTCACCTGCTCTTTGGTACATTGTCGGCCGCAACATGCTGCTTTTCCCATGCCGCGTTGTCAGACCTTTGCTCCATGTTAATTTGTCCGGCAATTTTCTCGCCGTAAGGGACGGCGTTTTATCGTGGGAACATTTGTATAGGTTTTGACGCATGAAATTATTAAGCTTTAACGTATTGAGAATACGATCGAAACTTGATGATCAGACGTTCGTTGCCGGACAAAATTTGAGAAAATAGGAAAAATATAGATGAGAACTGTAATATAATAAACTAAAGGCACCTTTAGTGCTGCAGTACAGATTTTTTCATAATGCATCGTGTCTAAGAGATTCAACCAATCAAAGTTTCTCTTTTCTGTGAAATAGAAAGAAAGGGAGGATTCCAATTGATTGATTCTTTTATACTATGCGTTATGCAAAAGTCTGTGGTACGGCCTTTAATTTTAACGACTAACGTTAATGTTAATGTCAAGAAATTAAAAAAAAATGATAATGCATCGATTTCATTGATACGTCGATCGGGGACAATAAATAGAGAAGGGCGGCGTGTTAGAAGCGCTGACCAAATTATAACCGGAAACAAAACAGACGAACACACAATGGGGTCTGCCGGCAAAGGCAATAAAATATGATAAACGTCACGAACAGTGCACTTGCCTCTTTGTTGGTCGGTCAGTGCCTCTATACCACGCGAATCGTTCCCTGCATCGTATTCCTGAACGAATTCTAATGGCTGTGTCCCTTGCAGTCGGTCGTTCGATTGCATTTCTTCCGCGAAAGTTTCTCCATCTGTGCGAAAAAGCGGTTTACTAAGGGTGCCCTTTATAACTCCGACAATGGGATTGTAAAAAGCAGGCGCGATATAAGCAAACCAAAGACGATTTTCCAATGAAATAAACGTGCAAATCGTGTCGAATTAATTACCGCAATTAAATTTACTTAAATATAAATGAATGAAAGTAAAGATTCGAAATTATTAACTTAAAGAATATTGATTTCAAATCACTATAATAGAACTGTACTGTTATTCCGATAAAACTGGCGTATGCAAGTTTTTCTATAGACTGTTTAAATTACTCTCGCTTTTTTATTTGAGCAATTTTAAAACTAACCAATAAAAAGCCACTGGAAATGACTTCATTGCTACTCATAGATCAATAAATAAATTAGTCGTTTTGATTGGATTTTCTTGCCAAAATTATCGACAATTTCAAACGCAAACATGTTATCGGTGCGTTTGAAAATTCGTTTCGATCGCACATTACTCGTGCAATCACCACGCGTTGTATTGTAACGCGCGAAAGAACATTTCCACGAGGCCGCATGACCATGTAACTCTACTCGCATTATATTCACGTACTATGGGCAGCATTCAATGCCTGTAAACGAAACTACTCGACGAACGATCCGCGAACAACGCTTTGCGCGTTGAAGTATACTCTGCAACGCCAGGAACTTCGAAATCGTTGAATTCAAAAAATTGTTCGTGCGCGTTTACGTTCGCTTCCCGAATTTCGAAATGGCATGCATACTTTAACCCAATCGAATTCACCTCTCGTTAATCGACACGGTGAACCTAAATGAGACGAATTCAGCAATATGAAGTAACGGAAGGTACGGAATAATGAAGCTTATGGCAGTAGAGGAATAATAAGTTATAATGAGAAAATTAGATTGGACGAATATAATAATCGCATCGATCAAAATCATCTTGATTTGCGCCAAGACATCTTATCTTTTTTAAACTTGAAGATAATTTTAATATAATATTTTAAACATGTTAGATTAGGAAAAAAACTAATTTAATTACTTGCCGGTGCAGCAGCGGAGTTGCATACAAAATTGATCTGTAAAGTAAACAAATACATTCGAATTAAATCAATTTTAAAATAGCAAATATTTCGAATTATAATTATTGTGTGTATTACATTTTTTGTTAGTCTTTTAAACAGGTATAAAGGAATTAAATGATTTTGGAAAACTATTTTCAGATATAAATTTTGAAGAAAAATTAGAGATCTAATTTTTATATAAATAACTCAAATAATTATGAGTATAAATGTGCCAAAAATACACATACAACATTCAAAAAAATATAAACATATTTTCAAAGTACGCCAAAACAAGATTTAATAACGACGCGATTTTAATTTCCAAGTATGCGAAAAGTATTTTTGCATTTACTGTAAGTAAACAAGATCTTACTAAGAAAAAATCGCATTTTACTCGAAAATAAGCATAAAAATCATCATCGTAAACATCTGATATACAAATATGAATTCGACGAAATTAAATTGAAATATATCAATCCTTGTCTTGAATAAAAAAATGAGAGATGTATTATATATCTCATGTACTCTTAACGGAAAATGTCGCATGGAATACATCATGCAGCCATGACATGGAGGTAAATGATTAAGTCGACAGTAACAAATGATAAGCAAAAATAATAAGTAACTTACCCCATGGTTACGTCGCCGTCTCCCGATGCATCCCAAGCCTCTTCCTCCTCTCTTATTCGTCCTCTGTAGCACTTGCACAACGTCACTCGCGGATATAAGATTAACTGTGATCGCAATGTCCTGCGCCCATTACATACCGAAGATACATTACATACGACGATTACGCGATGCTTTGCACGGCACTCCGACACTCCCGATGCGTTAATCGTACACACGAGTCGCAAGACAGAATTATGACGCAACGTAAGAATTATTGACGAAACACGTATGAACATATGCGCGTATAGAATTTTCTGTCGCACGCAATGCCATCGGCGTCAGTAATGACGGAATTCGAAACGAGGCCAACTTCACGCGCCACTCTCCGCAGTGCAGCTACACTCGCACTTTTGCGCACCGCCCGCATTTTCCTAATTTAGATCGTATGTTACTCGTATTTTAAAACGATTAATAGCTCACATTGTAACATGAACAGCGGATACTTTGACTTGGGAATGAACATTCGAAATGTACTGTAATATTAAAACGCGACATTGGCTAAACGTAAAATAAATTACACAGAATACACGTTCTAATGAATTGATCGGTATCCGATTTGTTGAAACTAAATAACACTGAGTTTATAGAGAATAAAATATCAAAGATTTCATTATTTACTTATTACGCACCGACTCGGAGTAGTTGCGATACACTCCGTGGAAATTTCGTTTCTTCTTTCTTTATGATTGACGCGCAGCCACCTCGGCCGCAATCAAGCCATAAACTAGTTAGTTACGATGATATGCAATGTGATGGTGAATTTTCCAAGCTCCAAAAAGAGAGGTCAGGCTGGAGCACGCGCGCCAGATCGACGCGCGCGCAACTTAAAGGGCGAGGTTATGGAATATGGATGAATGTCAATGCTTTTGAAGTATGCGAGGAGTAGTCTGCATAATTTAGGAGGGGGGTGGCGGAGCAACGGGAAAAGATTAAAATCGCAGTCCGGAAAGTGCGAGGTAATGCTGCGTTTACGTTCGGAGTGATAATGGGAAACCACGTGATTGACATCCTGGCAAGGATCCTGGCCGCAGGTACAACAAGCGAGCAACTCAACTATGTTTTTCCGATGCAGACTCTGGTTTAGGTTATATAATGATTGAGCCTGCAAACTATAACAACGACTCTCGTAAGCGGTTCGTTATGAGAGGCCTAGGTGAAGCAGGCGAAATATTCGTTGTACGTGACTTCTTCAATGGTAGTTTCGTTAGTGGAAATTTCGCTACTGTTTGAGGATAGAGTCGACTTCATGCGGACACGCTAATCAAGTTAATGGAAGTAAAACATTGGTCTGGTGGATTATACAAAATGTCAAGATATAAAATAATCAACCTTTAAGATCATACGCGCGACATATTTTAAACATGTGAATTTTATAAAATGAGAATGTTATTATTAAACAGTCGATACTGTGGTTTTTAATTAGTTAAATCGATTTAATAGCTTGCGTATTCAAATTCGCGTTCTCAATCTAAAAGTGGACAAATTCGATTTAAATTGAGGAAAACTTTGAAAAGCGCAATGCCAAGTGTGCTTGAAGCCGAATATTATCGAAGAAAGAATTATTATCCTCGTCAATATCGTGATCAAATACAATAGTTTGTACCTTATATACATCCTCCGTTGTGTCACTTTGATTTCGACACCGCACAAAATAGCTCTGATACATTTATGAGTCGATTTCTTGACGCGTTCAGGAGTCTAATAATAAACGTGATAATTACAATAATTTGTAAAAAATAATTACGCGGATTAATCGTATTTCGAAAGACGACGACACGCAAAATAACACGCTGTGTCGACCTACCTACTTGAATCTCACTTCACGGATAATAGCGACTTTGGTCTTGATGTGCGCTGATCGTTGCCGTTGCGTATAAACAATAACACGCACTAATAAAAAAAAAAAAAAATAGGCGACGCCGCTTACTAACCAGTAAGTTATCAAAATACAATATTCAACGTGTTATTTCTCTCTAAACTTAGCGACACTGTGCATTTTTGATTGATATGTTATCAAAGCTGGTTATCAAAGTCGTTTTGCAGATTAGATTTGCCAAAGAAGCAAACAGTAATACAAACCGTTCCGTATGTCGCATTTTTCGCATTTTTTCAATAAGCACACAAGGAACATTTTGTTTCCAGTATCCCAAAATAAGTTGTATAAACGTTTGAGAATAATTTTTGTATATTTTGTAATTTACTTCATGCATTTGTTAATCATTAAACTCTTTGCAGATTATTCTGAATGTCACTATTTATACGATTCAGATTTACAATTCACTTGGACTGCTCAGGGAATTTTTTCAAGGATTTTTGGGATTAAAATATCTGAAAAAATTTTGATATAACTTTTCCTACATTTAAAAATAATATTGTCTTCTAGATTCTAGATATTCGTTTTTACGATAATGTGATAACTTGATTTATAGAATAATTTGATAACATCGCGACATATGTTCATTTATGTACATCATGTGTCATATATTATTTAAATTGTTAATCAAGCTTCGTAATATGCTGAGTTATACTTGTAACTAATGAATAATTTTTAGACACACACACACACACACACACACACACACACACACACACAAAACAAGAAAACATTTATTTCTAAAAATTAATAATTACTTGAAAGTTTAACTTAACATATAATGAAGTTTGATTAGTGATTTAAATAATATGATACATAAACTTATATATATGTCACAATGTGATCAAATTATCCCAAGTCAGTTACAAATTATCATAGAAAATGGCTATAGAACCTAAACTCTAGATGAACATTTACATATTTTAATTTAGCATCTAATGCATTGCAAACTTGGAACATACATATGTTCTAAGACTGCAAAGCTCTATGGATAATGTAATACATGCATGAATGAATCGACAATAGATCGATCGTCTGGCGTATCTCACTTCTCGACAAAAATGGATAGACGGCGAATACAAACGAGATCAAAAGTATCAAAATCTTCCCTCTCTTTTTAATATATCAAAAGAGAAAATCTTTTCTAGTTTGTTATAAACAATTTTTTTCGCATGTGCACACGACGATATGTAAAATCAAGAATGATGGCGATCTCAGAACTAGCGAGAGTAAGATCTGAATAAGGAAGGGAAAGGTGGAAGTCTTGCGCGATTCTACGAGAAGGCTCGGAAACGAACGAGACACGATCTTGCGAAGGAAACTTAGCACATACGAGTGCGGTAGAACGTGGTGCATCCACCGACGGTGGATGGATGCTGACGGGGACGAGAGTGCGGTGGCGGGCAAGCTGGCAGGTAGGTTACGTATGAACGGAACTAACGTATGAGGTTGGAGCGTGGCCAGCCACTATTTTACACGAGCAACTGGGGCCGGTCCGGCAGCTACCCGATGGTCAAGTAACCCCTGCTGACCAATGGACCAACCGGATAACCTATGCTACCTAACCCGTCCACTGGAAATATGCTTATGGTATATGCTCGGTCTCGAGATTTCGACAACGAACGATAGCCGTTCCTCTCGCGACTCCGTCCAGCAATTTCAGCGAGCGATTGTTTCTATCCCGCGAGAGGTCTTCTCAATTTCATTAAATGTTTGCTCTGTACTGGTTGATGTGAAATCGGAGCATCGTTTTATTGGTCTGCTTAACGCTTGCGAACGTAATGTTTGATAAGATTTCTATCGTTTGATTCTCATCACGAATAGAATGACAAAATAAAATAAATGAAGGCACTGACATTTTTCTATATTTAAGCTAATTGTGAATTTCTTCAATACGTCGATTTTTTTCTTTTTTGATAAATTACATTATTTTAGTATATGTATCATGTAGGTTTATTAATAGCAAAAATTACAAATAAGTGGGTTTTGAATTTAGATTCTCGCTGATTAATTTGTGGAACATGCGGCGATTTAAACTTTTAGTTTCATATTTGAGGATGGCTAACTTTTTTATTGAGATTGATACAACTTCAAGTTATACTAATACAGGATTAACAATAAGTACAAGACCTTTGTCTATTTATGTCTTTTAATATTTAGAATTAAATATCCTATACATATATTATATTATATTATATTATATTATATTATATTATATTATGAAGAACCTGATAACTAAATTTCCCAGCTGTCGCGATGAGTAAAATAAACGCTATTTTTTGGAATCCGTTTAAGAAACAAAACAGCGCATTTTGGCATTCTTTCGCGAGACAATCTAGTGACATGGCACATCGTTCGACCGATTACACAGCACAAAATTCCTCTCGTGCGTCGACCTCTTGCCAAAAGAAGCATCATCCCGATCACCCCTGCTCCGCCTCCACTCTGTATTCGTTCCGCGCGATTTATAGCTACGATTTATCCCCGAGGAATTCTCTTCTTCGATCAACGGCGACATATCGACGACGATGCGGCCTGCTGTGGTACGTTCTGAGATTGGAGGTCGTGGCGGGAGGTCAAAGAAATCACGGGGCGCACAAAACCGTGAGTACAAAGTAGAGAGTGGAGGAAAGGAGACTGTCATGATCGTCCATTGGAGCGGGACGCACGCTGTCATTTGACGACGCATGCATCATCATTTATGCCACTTGACTCGAGTGATCGAACGTGACACAGCCGAAGTTCGCTCGTTCCCTCGCAATGGACTCTCCGGATTGCGCACGTACGTTTCTTGCGTGTACGTTTCTCTCCTCGCGCGAGGCGGACGTAGGATTCGCGCGTTCCACGCGGAGAGTTTTAATATCTAAGGTCGGGACTCTACTCTGAAGGCACAGCCAGGACGAGCTTCCCAAGATGGGCGAGGGGGTTCGACAGCGAGAACTATTCGACAATGCTTGACGGTCCCGCGCGCCTGGTCCATGGGAATGGGAACGGGAAAGGCGTCAACTCGTCCGTGGTTCCAAGGCGGCTCATTGCAGATGCAGAAATGCGAGATTCCTTATAACCGCTCTTTGAGACGCCGTGAGATATTAAACCTCGGTATTCCTCTCTCGCCTCTCGATTCTCCCTTTCCATCCCTCTTGTATCATCTAACCTGATACCGCGTATTCCTCTTGTTTTCCTTCTGAATCTCCTCGTTCCGCAGCAGCCGCTTGTTCTCTCAATAAGAGCGTTCCCATAGAAGCCTCTCCGCCGAGGCTTCCGTTTATTTGGGAATTTGCGGTGTTTCGATTTCGCGTGCGCCCGCGACTGACGCCGCGATATATGTTTGTGCTTCCCTCGAATCGTCTGGTGTTTCGCGTTGATAGCTATTTTATTCCATTCAATATTCTTCCGTCTGATTACGATCGCTGCAACGAGACGCTGTACTTTCGTCACGGTAACGCGAGCTGTATTGCCCATTTCGCAGCAATTCCATCGCTTCTGAAATGCGAGACGCTCGAAATAATACATTATTACTTTTTTAAAATGAGACAGCGGAAAGACATAATTCTAAAGTATGATGGAAATGATATACCGGTATTGATAACAAGATTTAGTAGCGTTTCAATTTTATATTTTTCCATTCTTTATACGATAATTATTTCTCTCATCTAAACGAATGAAAGAGTATATATAAAAATAAAATCGAAATATAATCGATTAATTAATAAATTCAATTCATGAGAAACGTATGTAAAATACACAAATCTGTTATCATATAAAGATGGATTTTTTTAAATAGAATTATACTTCAAAACGAGATTTTGTTAAAATATTTAATTTTGCAAGATAACAGATTTGAAAATAATTTTGTTGGACCATCAAAATAATTATCTACGTAAGAAACTCAAGAAAAATTAGAAACAATTTTGACGTTCGGGCAACCAACTTGGACATCATATAACACGATCATATTGACGTGAACTAACAAAATTATTTTTAGATCTTTATCCAACTATAAATCTTTAGACATCTCAGCAAAATCATTTTTTCCTTGTATTACTATCACTTTAATTATTATATTATACGTCGGACTGATTTTTATTACAAGCATCGTATCGATAAAAGTATTAACGCACTCTCAGAATAACATATGCTTCCCGCAACACCCTTACAAGAACCCTCGTTATGCATGGACGTCGCGTAAATGTTGCGAAAGAGATTATCTGCCGTTCTCGATGTAGACGCCAGGATAAACTCGATCCCGTAGATTCAATTTTATTCCATCACATAAGACTCGCTTATCGATTTACCAGAGAACGTTCCGTAAAGCCTGCACCGGATTTTCAACTGGAAGCCCGTCGCGTGTAAAATATCATGGGCCTCTCACGCG